AGTTAAAGCAAGTTAAAGCCTTGATTTTATATATCACCTTTAAAAGTGGCATCTCAAAGCAAAGTAAATTCCCAACACTGATTGTACCCATCTGTCATGTTAATAAAGCACCTTGAATTGAATTGAATTGAATTGAGAGAGAGAGGGGGGAGGTCGAACGAGAGAGCACAGCCAGGACAGACAGGCAAATAAGATACACTCCACAGACATTCACAACAGCGACATATCATAAAACGTTTGCACATATAGTTAAATTTAAACACTAAAGTTAAAAAAACACTTGAATTACTTATCCAGTCTCTTGAAATAAAATTATTTTTCAAGCAATGCAACTAACGTCCGGCAACGTGTTCTTTTTAATCCAACATTGACAGCCACATCTTAAATCTTGTCAGTCAGCTCTTTTTTCTCTATTTGAATTGTGGCAATTCAAACAACCTGGGATAACAAGTGGTCTCAAAGTCACCGAGCTCACAGAGCTTCAACAATAGATGACAATTCCCTTAGTCCCTCCTTAGTCTTCCTGAAATTGTCAGATTATGAGTGAATAAAAGCATTTTATTAAAAACATGTTTGCGTTTGTTTGGGAGCTATATTATGTATTTTTCATATGTAAGATATAATGATGTGTTCCCGCTTACACATCGCACGACTTTAAAAGCTAGAAAAACAGGTTTCGATTCACATTATCTGGCGAGCCTTGTTTTGTCAAAGGACAGCACAAAAAAATAGACAATACACAGGGGGGGGAGGGCAAGCGAGAGAGAGTTTTTTGCCATCTGTCAAAAAAACCCAAATCACCCGGGGCAGAGACTCTGGGGGGGTCATTGTGTGGTACAGAGCGGAGCTCAGTCACTCCAAACAAGTAGTAAAGAGAGAAGAGTCCACAATTGATTTAAGGCCGATCTATCAAAGTGCAATGAAATACAATATTGTTGTTGTTGTTGTTATTGTTGTTTTTATCCTGTAAAGCATTTTGAGAAGCCACCTTTAAAGGTAATATATAAAAGCGCTGATTCTTATGGAATGTGTTTTCTTTCTTCTTTTTTTCAGTATGGAATAAACCTATTACTTGATTCTTATGGATGCCCGGTTCTGCCGGGGATTCAAAAAAATATATTTTTTAATCGCGTATCTAAGGAAATAGCAGTATAACCTTATTCATGCACAAACAGTCTCCT